TTGTTTTACTGTGTATCGTTTCCATATAATGCGCCTCACAAATCATAAAATGTTTAGCGACTCTGGTGAAGAAAAGAACAATTTTGACCACAATGTTTTGATTTAAAGACCTACGGTTAACGTCATACCGCGAATTACTGATCGCTCGTTGTTGTCACAGAGAATTCTGGAGCTCTCCTGGCGCCGGTAGATGTGCAGCGAACGCATAGTCTGCGGTCAGGCGTCCCCATAGCAACACTGATTGATTAGCCAGTTGATCCCGCTGGGACTCTCCATCACATTTGGCGCTTTATTCGCTTCGTTGCATGAAAAATGATCCATCAGCAATCGATAATTCAGTTAAGGCCACTCAGGTACCTGACATTCTTCATTTACCTTGTGTCAATTTAATAAACATGTTGACTAATTAGTAGCTAGTATCATTGCATTGTTAACTAATTCCACGTTTTAGGAAAATTTGTTTTCATAGACAAATTTGCTTAAAAATCGAAAACCACATTATAATCGATCATATCTTACTGTATTCATACGTTTTTTATAATAACAACACGAGTACAATTTTGTAATAGGACCTACAACAATTAGTGAGAATGCGCGGAATACAGAAACGTTTTCTCCTCTGGTTTAAGTGTCATTACTCAAGAACTACTGTTTTTTAAGTGTATGACATCATTCAAAGATTTGTAATTGAGGAGTAGGTTACATTGAGAAAAAATCTGATTTTAATATTGGAGGTGTATGACACGTTTAAAAATATATTGAACTTTTGTAATTTTCAAAATATCAGTAGTGTTAATACAAATCGGAACTATTCCAAATACTCTTCCTTCTATTCAATCAATATATTTGAAGGAAGAAATTGTAGCTATATTTCAGAATTTCATGTAAATTAACCACACAAGTTCAAATATCTCAATTATCTCCACAACGGTACAGCTAGATCGTAATCCTTTCGTATTTACTAAGTTTCAGTTCAAAAGTTTTAAATCTCACAGTCATGCACACGTCACACGTACTTGCATGCACACAAAATCATTCGAGGGTCTATATACATACAAACATAGATCTACTTACACATACGCAGATAAACACTATATACACACTGCCTACATTCGTACGTCCGCGAATGTGTCCAGCCCGTGCATGTGGCCATGCGTCTGTCAATACATCTGTCAATCCGTCTGGCAAACCTTGTCAATCCTTGTCAATCCTTCTGTCAATCCTTCTGTCAATCCTTCTGCCAATCCGTCTGTCTATCCGTCTGTCTATCCGTCTGTCTATCCGTCTGTCTATCCGTCCGTCTATCCGTCCGTCTATCCGTCCGTCTATCCGCCCGTCTATCCGTCCGTCTATCCGTCCGTCTATCCGTTATAATATAATTTGGAAGATTTATAATATTAGAATCACATCATATATATTACAGTTGCATTTAATTATTTTAATTAAAAAATTCAGAAAATAAATTTTAAATTATCATTCATCAGGGTATTTGCAAATTAAAAACAGAATAGTATATTTTTCTGCACATTTTATTTTACATTAACAGCACAGAAATCCATAAGAACTTTATTAAGGTTATCTATTGTTAGGGAGTGTTTCGTGTCATACAATATAATTTTGTACGTAGAAACTTATATTTCAACATCACATGATGTTATGGGAGAAAATGTTTGTGCTCAATATATTGTCTGGAAGACGAACGCTATTTCCTTCCAAGAATTTACCCATTTTGTCTGTAAAACATGAATCCCTAGATACTTTCCAAAAACTTTTTTTCCTATTCGCTGTCTCTATCTCACCTGGGGCTACTATGAATTTATCCCTTGCCTCCTGAAAAATTGCAAGTGTATCTACTAAGGTTTTACTTGAATTCTTTATCTTCTTTATAAACCGATGACAGCTGATATTACTTCGGCAGCGCAGTCCGTCGATGGTCTGAAACTAATTGTACTAAAGTATTTGAAGCAACAAGAAAGTTAATATTTTCTATTAATACATTTTTACGTGGAAATTCAAATTTTTATGTTATTTTAGGTAAAAGTCAAACAATATGCAAAATATGCCGTATATGCAAAACATTTCTTACTATATTTTCAATATTTTGCCATGAAACATACACATTTGAAGTTTCAGGAACACATAACCATTAACAAAAAAAGCCATTGTATGAACTTCCCAGCTAATTACAGTCTCGTTTCAATCCTAAAAGATGCATTTTTTTTTTTAAATAGCGGGTTCTAAGAATGTGGAACCCTATAGAGGTAAACATATATTAAATATAAATACGTAACTGTAAGTTTAAATTAAAAAGGTGGCTACCCTGTCAGTAAATTTCTCGCGCGAGTATGTTTACGATATGAATATATTAGAAATCATTATTTAGTTTAATATCGTTAAAACATTATGTTCACACTGGAATATATATATATAATATTATATATATATAATATTGTATATTATATTACATAAATATAATGTATGATAAAGGACGTGGTTTATTTTCAGATGTTAAGAATTAATATAAGAAGGGGTGTTTTAAGCAATTGTCAAAGCAGCCATGGCTTTATTACAATGATACGTGAGGAAACAACTTTTTTTAAAACCTTTATAGTTATTTTTAGTACTGTTTCTATTTGTATTTAATCATCAAATCATTATTCCGACAGCAAATCAATCAAATCCTAAATAAAACGTTGAAACTTCACTGACTTCTTCATTAACGCCGTCAGATGACGTCAGTATATGCAACCCGTTAAACACAGGTGCGTCCAAAAACCATTTCCGCCTGCGGTGTCGTGTTGCAATCAGGCCACGCACGCGTATTTCAGTTGCCGGCCGCCTAGTAAGAATTTCATTCATGACCATCCAGCGTATTTGCTCGGAGAGAAACCTGTCTAGGCGTTCGACCGCAGACTCCGTCTGAGAAGAACGCGCCGCCGCGATGCCGTCTCGCCAGTCTCACTCAGAGAGTGGCGTCACGACGCCCGCGACCAAGGCCGTGCCCCTCCACGCACCGCCTCGCCGCTCTCTCCAGCTGGCCGCGGCGGCGTGTGCCCCGGTGCAGTGTCGGTCCTCGGGCCTTCGCCGCACGTCGCGTCGCGGGGGCGGCTGCTGCTGGTCGCGAACCGAAGCCGGCGCGAGGGCCCCTCGGGACGGCGTTCCCGCGCGACCGCTGTCGCAACTGGACCGTCCCGAAGCCACTGGTTTCGGGTGTGCTCAGGGTGTTTCACGGGGATTCGTGGTGAAGTGTTTTCGTCTTGTCGTGAGGAACAAAGGATTCGATTGTCTCTGTACGTCTGTGTCGGAAAATATTGTTGCAGTGAAATTGTTGTTCAGTGGTTGATTCCCTTTCATTAATGCATCTGTGTTAAAATTATTTATTTTCCCGAATGGCACCGGAGTGTTTACATACAAATGAATGAATGCTAAGTTTCTGTGCTTGACAACGCCTAGGGAAGGTGAGTGTGTGGCATCGCGTTGCGCAGTCTCGCCCGGGAAACCCGACTGATCGCAGGCGCCGTTTCGGGGCTCGCCTAGACAGCCGTCTTTTTCCACGAGCTCCTCGCAGCTTCCTCTCCCGCCCCACCCGCACGCCCGCGCTATCCACCACACTTGCCTGCCCACTCGCCCGCCAGCACGCTCGCTCGTCCGCCCGCCGCCCGCTCGCCGTTCGCGCAGCTGAACGGACATCCTTGAGGAACGCGCGTTTTGTGGCTCGGCGGCAGCGGTGGCGGCGAGCGGAGCGGTCGGTGACGTCACGTCACGTGGCTCCTACATTGATCGCGGTTCGCGTGTGCGCGAGCGGCGGCGGAGCGCGGGCGGAGCGGAAAGCGGCTAACGGGAGGGGGGGCGCCCCGAGCGGCGCGCGCCGAAGCAGTCGGCGGCGGGGGCGGCGGCAGCGGCAGCGCGCGGATCCCGCTGCTGCGGCTGCCTGTCGCGGCGGCGACGACCGCGGGGTAAACAACGGCTCGCGTCGCGATGTGACCGCCTGCTGCTCCCACCCCTCCCGCGTGCGAGGACGATGGCGAGCCATGCAGGGTGAGTGCGGCACTCTGCGGCGTGTAAGGACCAAGCTTGCTCGTCTGGGAGATCGACTGAGACGGGATGATCAAGACGCTCCGGACGGCGAGGAGCAGCCGGCGCCGGTGGCGCAGCAGCAGCAACAGCCGCCGCTGCCGGCGGCCGGCGCCGAGACGCCCAGCCGCTCGCGGCACCTGCTCCGCCACATCCTGCACCGCAGCGCCACGGCGCACCCGGCCGGGGACAGCGGGGACGACTCGGAAGACGACGGCGGAGAGCGGCTGGGCGGTGCAGCGGACGACGCTGCCTCGGGCGACGACGCCAGCGAGGAGGACGCCTGCTCGACGCCCGGCGCGGCGCCTCCGCCACCTGCGGCCGTGGCGGCGGCGGCGGCGGCGGTGGCGTCGACGACGGCGGCGGGCGCGCCGCCTCCGAGACCCCAACCGCCCGCGCCTCCGCCGCCACGCACCAGGCACAAGCTGTCGCTGCCGCCGCGCGCGCTCACGCTCGCCGAGTGCCCCGGCGCGCACGCCGCCTCGCCGCCGCCGCCGCCGGTCGGCGCCGACGACGGCCCCAGCTCCGCGCCCGAGATCGCTGCCGGCCCCGAGGCGGGCATTCTCGAAAAGCTGAGCCAGCGGCTGAAGGAACGCAGCGACAAAGTGCACAGGGTAAAGGCAGCACCGGTCGCACTCGAGAGCGCATGGGGCGCCGACTCCTACGCCCACGGCTCGCGAGTTGTTGGTGGAAGCCCGCGGGAAACCCACGGCCAATTACCTTTCGTGAAATTCATAGACAGCACGCGCGTATTCATGCACGATGCACTCATGTTTTGAATGGAAATCATTTTATTTCCCTAAATATATTTGTTCATCTATTCCCTTTAATAATCTGTTTAGACAGTATCACCATGTTTTTTACCGTTTTATCTACGTTCTCGGGATAATTTCGTGAATCATAATATGTGATTTCAACTTTTACAGTACTTCCAACGCAACACTAAGCTGTCTGATGTGAATCGCCGACTCAAAAGTCAGATCTGGAGTTCCGTGGTGACCATCGTTCTCGTGGAAGGCAAAAATCTCCTGCCCATGGACATAGATGGCTCCAGTGATCCTTATGCCAAGTTCAGGTCTGCCAACTATCTGATCACAAAAGCTACACATAAGAAGGGTATTGCTACTAGTTTTTACTGAGCATAATGAATAGAAACCCATAATCAAATTATCTGCCTGGAATGCATAGTCAACAATTTACTGATTATTACATTTTTATGACCTTGATTTCAAAAAATGTTCTTTCTATTCATTACATTTAGAATCTAAAAATAATTTAGTAGCAATGAAAATATATTATAGATTTTGAGTTCATTTATAATTTTTTTAGAATGAATGTACATTTAAAAAGTTGTTACTGATGCAGGATGGGCAATTATTGCAAATGTAGAATAGTGCCTCACTCCAGCAACTTATAAAATATTTAAATTAATCAAAAGCAATTTGCAGCATACCAAAAGTAAATAAAATTTGACATTTTTTTTGTGGTATAAATTGCTTGTTAATAAGTTCTTTCTCTTGTTAATGGATTGAAGAAGTAAGACTCAAAAGTACATTGAAAGGTAGGAACTTTTTTATCAAGAAACAAAACATTTATTATTACGCATTGTTCTAAATATAGAACAATCTTCAAATATCATTAATGCTTTGATATTTGCTATTGCACTAAATATGATTGGCAATTTGTTTTCATTCTCACTACTACTCACTTTTTTTTAATGGTACCATTCAATCAAATTTTGAAATCATAATAATAGGTAATATATTAATAATTCTTTTAGAGTTGACTGAGCATTGTAAAACTATTGTAAGTACATTGTAAATAATTGTATTCAATCCATCAAATTCAGCCTGGAATGGCAACACTCCATGTAAAACTCAGTAAAAACTATGGTTGTTAGGCCGGAAGAACTAGCCAAGGCTCTGTATTCATTCATCTGCCATTTAAAAAATTGATGTGATTTGAAAATGTTGATTGAATAAGAGTTCACAGAAAATTTAAATCCAGATTCATTACTAATAACTTGCAGCACACCCATTACATGTTTTGCCTGTGAAAATCTAATCTTAAATATATATTCATGTATGCCTGTGCTGTGTGTACATAAAACAATTTCTCTTTGAATGAAATGAAATCTTAAAATAATTCAAAAACTGGAAGAAAGTGCTGGGAGGTTATGAGAGATCTGAAATGTGTGCCTTTAATTATGAATATTAACCCAACTCTTTTGTCTATAAGGAAGAAACAATCAAATACCCTTGTTTTGCAACTCTACATTAATAAAAACAAAATCCATACCTCTTTAAAAAAGAACTTCTCAGCAGTTAGGGAACATCACTGCTAAGCAGACTTTTAAAGCATAAACTGGTTTAATTGAAGAGAAAAAGATATACAATAAATCTTCAATTAATACATTAATAAAATTAAAGAAAAATTAACATAATTACATAACACATAAGCAATTTATAAATATTACTAATTTGAAATTCAGATGTAGTGAAGAAAAAAACACAATTTATATTTTGAAATTAATATAATTTTTTTACTACATTTGGATTAATAAAAATTATGTTTACTCCACATGTGAGAACAAAGTGTTTAATTTTGTGTCTCAGTTTCAAGTGTGTGGTAATTAACTTCAATTAATGTAAATATTTTCAATAGTCACAATATAAAATGTGAAATAAAAATACCAATTAAGTTTTAAAGGAAAATAGGATAAACAAATGAAAATGAACTTATAAATGAAGTATGGTAAATAACTTGGGAAGAAAATGAAACTGCAGTGCAATCCTTTAAAAATTGTTCCCATCTTGCTCAGTTAATCTTGTTTTCAAATGTGTTCTAAAGCTTCAAGTTCATAAAAACATTTCACTTATCAAAAGTGCATTAATACATCATATCTATTGACTTGCATTGCTCTCAGTTTCAAGTTTACTTTTGTGTTGAAGAACTTGTCAAAATTAAGGAACAATAATTTTAAATAAAGTGAATAAGTCAAAAATTCATAGATAATGTTGGTTTTGTTATATACTATATTAATACTCTTATATGTCCATGTTTTTAAAGCTCAACATATCAGATTTTTTTATTAACATCAGAACTAATGTACCTATTTCTAAAATGCAAACTTTCATCTCATTGAAACTTCTTTAACACTCAAAAGAACACTTTAGTTGCATTTTGATACTAGTAATAGACAAAAAAGAAAAAGGGTGTTCTGATATACTTATTTTCCAGGTTGGGTAATGAAAAGTACAAAAGTAAAGTTGTCTACAAAAGTCTCAATCCAAGCTGGCTGGAACAATTTGATTTGCACTTGTATGATGACCAGTCTCAAGAATTAGAAGTAACACTTTGGGATAAAGATCGCTCGAAAGATGATTTTATGGGCAGGTAAGTAACAATTTATGTTTTTCATTCATGATTAAAAGTGTTGAATTCTCATAAGAATGGTTTCCTTCTAGGTGTACCATCAATTTGTCGGAACTGGAAAGAGAAAAGACACATCGCATCTGGCAAGATTTGGAAGAGGGTGCAGGTTCTATCTTCCTCTTACTAACAATTAGTGGAACAACAGCCTCTGAAACAATTTCTGATTTGACCACCTATGAAGAAAACCCCATGGAACGTGAAAATATTGAAAAACGATATGTAAGTGTTGTTGGCATTGTTTTTGTTACTTTTTTTGCTCTCAAGATCATTTCATACTCAAAAAAATCAACACAAAGCCAGTGTCATTATAAGCATTATTCAAAACTGTTTCTACATCTTTGTCATGTACACTAAAAATGGAAAAATACAACTAGAATAATTTGAAAGTAGTATATTTTGAAGTAGTTGAAAAATGGTGGAGCCTTTCAGAGCTAGTAGAGTTGAAAAAGGAAAGTGAAGGAGAGTGAGAGTATGTCTTGATCAAATCTGAATACTCTAAAATGAAAAGAATTATAAATTGTGTATTTTTTGCATTAAAAAATGAGTAATAAATTCTTTAGTTTAATAAATAATAAACTAAATAAAATGTTTTTTTTTAATATATGAAGAATTTTTTGGTTAAAATAATGAAGAATACTCATGATTAGAGCTTTTTAAAATAGGATATGTCATGCTGCACATTTTTTGATAATTCAGAATTCTGAAACTTGGTTGAAAAAGTTAAAAAATAGATAGATAAAAAGGGATGGTGTGATGAGGTTAGGTGTCCCACCAATCCCAACATACAATTTTTCAAAGTCAAATATACTTCTAACCGTTAATAATATACTCTTAGTAACACCATCATTGACAATTTGTTCTGCTTGCTCAGAAAAGTGTTGCCTCAACAAAATTCACTCATTCTCATATTCAGAAGTATGCCTTGTAGACTCCTACATGTCTGGAAAATTGGTTAATATGATGCCCTTGTCTTTCACATTGCTTTGGAAAATGAACAATACCCTATTAGAATTGCCAAATGTTTTCATATAATAGATAAATACCAAGAACTTCTTTAAGTTTTCATCATTTTCAGGTTGAATAAAAATAGAAAAATCTCTTTGTAAATTATTTCAAACCATTTGTTGAAATGAATTTGATGACACGGACTTGTACCCCTAAATATCAGAATGTGAAGTCCAGTTACTGAGCCCCTGAAACCTCTTGTGTAAGACACTTCAAGCTTGAGAAGAAAATATTAAATAAAATATGAAGAAATCCTTTGAAAAGAAAATAATTTCATTAAATTTATTAATATAAAAATGCAGAAATTCCTATTATTAACACTACTGCTTGTATTTTGAAAATATATCTGGAGAATCATTAATAATATTTCCAACAATTATATTATATGTTTTCATTGTTCCTTGTAATTAAACTCAAATTGTTCTGAAATATGAAAAATAATGGGTTATGTTCTGACACAATGCGTACCTACGTCAGAATTCAGAAGAATCAGATCATGGTAGTTCTCAAGCTTCCTTTTCATGTAAAGAAATCTCAGTATAGTGCTGATTTATGGATAGTGAAATTTGCAGAAGCTGACACAATTCACAATTGCCACCAGAAGTTCTTGATCGGTACTCCAGTTCAATAACAAACATCATAACATATATGTTCATTATGACAAATTCTGATTCAATAGGTCCAGGTACAGTAATTAAAGTTAGTATCTGTTTCAGAATTAAAATAATAGGAAAATATTTTACATGTGTTTGTAATGAACTTTTTTAGTATTATTTATTTTTTATGTAGCAAACAAGTTTCAGATTTCAGAAGAAGCCATCTTTAATCTTGAACTTAGTTAATCTAATTAATAGATTTCAATAAATTTAATTTTTAAGAACAGATAATTAGAGCAATTAAGGAAAATACATTACTGTGATGTCTTAACTTAAAATAGATTTTATTCTTATTTTTATGATGTAAGCCCATTTGGGAACATAAACCTGTTTTTTGAACCACATAATATGTGTATGTATGTAGGCATTGCTTCACACACTGCACAACTTAAGGGATGTGGGCCACCTCACTGTGAAAGTGTTCAGAGCCCAAGGCCTGGCTGCAGCAGATCTTGGAGGAAAATCTGATCCTTTCTGTGTGCTCGAACTTGTCAATGCACGTTTGCAGACTCAGACAGAATATAAAACTCTTTCACCATCATGGCAGAAGATTTTCACCTTGTAGGTAGCTCTTGATGTTTAGTAAATTTTAGATAGGAAATTTATGTAAAGTCATTCCTAATACAGTTTTGCAAGTTAATATTTTTCTCACATTACAAGTATTATTTTCCCATTACTATTCAATGGAATAAATTGTATTACATTAATTTTTCAGTTACTTGAATACCATTCATATTACATAATTTTAATGCTTAGATTTCAAAATTGATTACTAATTGGATATTTCATAATTTTCTTATTTACAGCAATGTGAAAGACATCAATTCTGTTCTGGAAGTCACAGTTTATGATGAAGACAGAGATCACAAAGTAGAGTTCCTTGGAAAAGTAGCAATACCTTTGCTTCGGGTACGAAATGGAGAAAAAAAATGGTATTCCCTTAAAGACAAAAAACTCCATGGCCGAGCAAAAGGCAACTGTCCCCAAATTTTACTTGAAATGACTGTCTTATGGAATCCTGTGAGTATTGAGATGAATTATTTATATTATAGTGTATATATTATTTTTTTATTGTTATTGTTGTTGTTGCAGTTATTATTTTTGTTATCACCCTCATCATTATTATTATTAATATTATTATTAATAATAAAATTATTATCATTATTATTATTACATGTATTAATACAAAAAATAAAGCATATAAAACTTATTTCAGATTAGAGCTTGTGTGAGGACATTAAATCCAAAAGAGGAAAAATACATGCAGCCAGAAATTAAATTTAAGCGACAAGTATTTGTTAGAAACGTCATGAGACTGAAAGCTATTATTATGAGTGTACTGGATTTTGGAAAATATATTCAGTGAGTACTACATTAACATAAATCTTGAAATTATTTCATCATTACTTCAGTCAGCAACATTCTTATCAAAAAAGGATAATAAAAAATCAAAATTTCATTATAGAATAACATTTTTGTCAAAATGTGTTATCATGTTTGTTTGTACATGAATAATGTTGGTTTTTCCAAATTAAATCTATTGTATCTGGAGAAGAGCCATTTCTATCTAAAGTTTTTTTTAGAATTCAAAGGCAATTTCATTAAAGGAAATTTCTTGTTATTAGTTTTAAAAAATTTACATGCACTATTCATATATTTTTAGTAATATTGATATTATTATAATACAATATTGTAACTTCTTATAATGTCTTCCTCTTTGAAGAACTTCTAGTTCTTCAAAGTGATCTATCTGATAGTAATTTTTTTTTTTCTTTTTTTTTCTTTTCAGGAGTTGTTTTGAGTGGGAGTCAACACCTCGCAGTATTATTGCGTTCATTTTATTTATAGTATTGTGTTACTACTTTGAGCCTTATATGATTCCTATAGCTCTGTTACTTATCTTTTTTAAATATTACATTGTAAGTACAAAAATAAACATTACAAATTAATGCAAAAATGTTATTTTAATTAATGTAAACTTTAATGAGTTTCAATTGACCATTTATTAATTCCTGCAGGTAATGTCTCTGACAGGAACATGGCCAATTCATGATGAAGATGAAGAACCACTTGGAGATGATGACGACGATGATGAAGATAAAGACAAGGTTTTTTATTGTGAAAATAATATTATTGTTTAATTGTCCAATTATATTGACATTTTTCAATTGAACTTTTTAATATGTGCAGGAGGAAAAGAAGACATTAAAAGAAAGGTTACAGGCAATACAAGAAGTAACTCAGACTGTGCAAAATGCTATAGGTTATATTGCATCTTTAGGGGAAAGTATCAAAAAGTAAGTATTCATTCAAAATTTACATTTAAAAGTTAAGTTCTTATTCATCATTTCATTCATAATTTCGACATCCATGTTCTTTACTGAATTACTTTTTGTTCCAGCACCTTTAATTTTACAGTTCCATATCTATCAACCTTAGCCATCATGTTACTTGCAGTTATTACAGTTGTTTTATATTTAGTATCAGTTAGGTATCTCATAATGGCATGGGGTATTAACAAATTTGCTCGGAAATTAATTCGCCCTCACACCGTCCCCAACAATGAAGTTTTGGACCTCCTATCTAGAGTTCCAGATGACGAAGATTTGGTATGTAGATATGTGTTAAAACTATAATTCGCTGCTGATTGAATTTAATCACCTCAGAAATGGCTGCAGCATGCAAAATCATATTCCATTTATTAGATGATATTTAAACTCATTATTTGCTTGATAAATTGCAGTCGCACATCATATCACAACATTTTGCTGTTTTGCTTCATTCAAATGCATGTTTACAATTATATACCCAATGCAATACAATCACACTGACTATGTAACAGCTTAATTCTACTAGTTATCAATTGAGTTAATAATACAATAATTACTTGGCATTTTGTAACTTTTCAATTAACTTACTTGTATTAATGTTATGTGATATACATAGTTAGCACCAATATGGATTATCAACACAATACATATTCACCCTTTTTAGCCCTGAAATCAATTTTCTACGTACACATGCTAAATCACTTAATATAGGCATTACTCAACTTATTTTAAATTGTGAGATATCAAAAGAAGCTGAATTTTCAATGAATAAGTAATATAAACTTCCATACTTATATAATTTTGGGACATTCTTTTTCTTATTTTCTAATTTCTTAAGTTTTACGTTAAATACAAATTGGAAAGTTTGCTCTTGCTGAAGTTAATGTAGTTCACAAGTATGTTCATAATATTGCCAGTAAAGTAAATATCTATGTCCTTTCTCTTCATTTAGCTAAGCTGAGTTGTTTCATTGCAGAAAAAAAAGTACTATTTCCTTCTTCTTGTTACTCTTATTTTGATTTATTAATATTCACAAATACACCAAAACAAAAGAACACCTTAAAACAATAATGTTTGTAGTTCTAGTGAAAATTAATATTTGGTAAGGCTTCAGTTACCCTATAACTACACAAACTTACTAATAGCATATGCTGGACTATAATCTATAACTTCATATCTTATTATAATTTTTGATGAAATTTTGAAAAATGCTGTAGTATTGAATCCATACATTAAAGTGAATCTACCATTGCATCAATTATTAAATTACCTTTTATACCTACCATTGCATCAATATTAAATTAACATCATTAGTCATAAAAAAAAATATAGACAATCTGAACAAACTGAAATTATGAGAACCAAAATGCATTTTTCTATCTTCTCAGGGAAAATTTAAAAAAAATAGTTTTAATGACCCTTATTCAAGAGAGTGATTTTACTGCACATACTTCAGAGATTAATGTATTTTATTTTTATGCCCCATATATGTTGGAAGTGATTTACTCTGTGTATGTATGATATCTATCAAGTATCATTAGAAAAACTGCTTTCTGTATTACGCATTGGGTACTAGATTTAGATTAAGTTGTACAAATAGAACAGCTGCTTGTAGTTCCAGTTTAGTGCATTTCATATGGGTTACTTTTTATGAACTAAAGAGATTATAACAAAGTTTATTGTCTTTTTCTTTCCTTCTCTCCTTCTCTCCTTCTCTCCTCTCCTTCACTCCCCATTGTTGTTGAAATCTAAGCATATATTTGACCCCAAATGAAGAATGCACTTGGATTGAAACACCTTGAATGATAGTAGTATAGTTCACCAAAACCTCATAATTTTATTAACATTTTTTGAAACTAAGAATATTTATTTTAAAATAACAGATTGCTTATCGAGAGCTCAAACCACACCCAGCGACTGACTTAGAAAGAAGGCGTGATCAAAAAAAGAAGCACAAAATGTCCTAGTGAATGTGTCATAATTTATCGCATCGAAGTTGATGCCATAGATACATTTACATGACAAGTCAGAGACAAATTACTGTAAATAAGAAGTCATGCACAAACTGAGACATGTGATGAAGCACTGAGTGCAAATGTGTTCGGTAAAGCCTGATACCTATATAAATGTGCTGATGTCATTCACCCTACTAGCATAAATGACAGCCTCATTATTGGCAAGGGTCTTGACAGTAGTTTGTTTTTAAATTGAAATGGAATTTGTGTAAATGAATGCATGTTAATGTATTTGTACCTTAAAGACTTTTAGATACTACCATTGTTCAGAAGTTGTTTACAAGGACTGTTAAAAATTTGTCAAAAAACATTCCTTCAGTTTTAATATATTGCCAAACCTAATATTGCCTCATTATGACATGCTTGATTGTTTAATCGACATTTATTTGTACCTATGAATGTATAAATAGTACTGATAAAAAGTTCAATACTGTTATGTAATAAATTTGTAATATTTTTTTACATTTTGACAAAAATTTGTGTGGACCAGTGTTGATATCTGCACTAAGTTAACAAAGTTTTATTTCAACAGAGTTTTAAAAGTGGCTTTCAAATTCAATTTGAATAATAGGTGGAAAATAGTACTCATTCTCTGCTCTTGGCAATTCAACAAATATTTTTTTTTATAAATACCTCAAGTTCAACAACTGTAGAATAGTCACCCTGTATCTGTGTCTTCCTGTCTTCTACACCTTTTAAGTAAAATTTGTCTCTACAAATAAGAATACTCTAAACTTTATTCATTTTTCTCAAAATATTACTTGCTCTGTTTGTACAGTTCAATATACAATGAATCCAAATTTTATGTCAATTTCCTTGTGTTTTGTGGTGGTGAATTTTATACATGAATTTATTGAAAGTGCACTTTGAATTTAAGTTCTTATGAAAATGAGCCACAATGATTCTTTGGTAATATTTCAAGTAACATGGAGTGCATTTCAAAATTAGAACTTGTTTTCTCAAAGTTTCTATGCAGTAAATCTTTCATTGTCATTTGCTTTGATACAATTTTTAGAAAGCCAAATTTTAAATGTATTAATGTTACAAATATTTTGTGTTCTCCAACCAAATTTGTGATAATTTCATGCAAAATGGAAATCTTTTTTTAGAATATGGATATTCTTTCAATTTACTATTTCAAATAAAACATTCAAGAAAATTTAACCTACAATAACAAACAATATAACAATTTATTGGTTTTGATTTTAATATGTACTGTAAAAATTGACATGTATATAATCAAAAACATTCGTGTTTATTCTGTATATATCAATATAAAAAACATTTCATGGAATAATGACATTGAAAGATTTGTTTTATTTCATTGCTAAGAATTGTTTTTTACTATATCATATCTATGTTAAAAAATGTTGAAAACGTTTTCCTTAAATCAAATAATATGTAAAAATTTATTTGTAATCTTGTTCTTCAATATAAAATAATCATTACTGAAAATGTACAGAAGAAATTATGCTCCCAAGTTTATCAGTGTCATAAAACTACCAACTTTAGGGTAAGAAAATGAGGATGCAAATGGTGTTTTCCAGTTGTGTGTGCAATTGAGTCTTTTATTTATTTATTTATTTATTTACTGCATTCCCAGACTGTGTTTAATGTTATCATTTTGCAATGTGGAGCAAACACTCTCAACTTGTATATTTATCAGCTTTCATTTGCCATCAAACTATACTGAAGAAAAAGTGATGTTTGAATAAAGTTTATCTTTTTTATAAACAGTGAATGAACTCTGATACATCTCATTGTATATCCTTATCCCCTAATAGCATTTACTTCTTTTTATTACACAATACAGTGAAGGTATTAAGAGAGTTACACACTGAGCATCAACTTTTGGTGTAACTCTTTATCTCCTCTCACCTGTTCTTGAAATGTTCTCCAAACCAAATTGTTAGCAATGGTGATAATTGTTACCTCTTTGATGGTGGAACCTGGAATGATTTGTCACCCCCTCTAGTAGTGGCATCACTTCAGAAATAGGTGAAGAGTTACATGTCCTTCTTCCAAACCTGCTGAGATAGATCAGCTTATTAACTGATTTCACTGTAGAACCTCTGACCAGGAGATCCTAGGGTTTACATCCTAATGGTGGCAGGATTTTTGACACTTGCTAAATAGCTAGGTCAAGTTCAGTGGCTTTCTAGAGGAGAATTCTAACAGCTAGTTGCAACCTGTAGTTTTCTATTCTTCTCCAGTCAAAAACCGGGTAAATGCTGGAGCAGTGCCCTAACAAACGGGCCTCAGACCATGGGCGATCTTTTATTTCCATATTACTATAAATTTCTGCATTAGATCTCAATCTATAACTTTCCTGTGTTTCTCTTGGACCATAAATCCTTCTTAAAATTTTTCTCCCTATCTTCAGAAAATTTCCATTCCAATTATGCTTGTAGTTTCTATGTTATACAAGATGACTGATCTAACAACTGTACTATAATGTCACAATTTTGCATTGATAGACAAATTCTTTTTATTATATATATTTTTTGAGCAAAACTTTAATAGTTCCATTTTCCGTTTTTTTATTTCTAAAACCATTTTATTCATCTGCTAATTAATTCTCCAAGAACCGTATTTAAACCGGTCAGTTGATGTTCCCATAATTTATTTTTACTGCCTTCATGTATTTATGATTACTTGTCATAATTTCAGTTTTATTAAATGATATCTGCAAGCCTGCTCTTTTCACTGTTTCTTTTAATAGCCTTGTCTTAGCCCTGTGTTTACTTAGAAGGGCTTATTGACTTCACCTTGAAATTTAACTTTGGAAACCATATTAATGTAAGGGTCATAGTTCAGTAGATGGTTTTTAACAAATTTATATATTATATTTATATACAAATATCTCTCAAGAATGACACCTAAATTTTGAGTAACATGTGCACTCATTGGCTGAACAAAAACTAGGTGAGAATTTAGAGAGAATTTTCACATTTTAATCCAAGGAAATACAACTTCTAGGAGAGGAAAAACTAGAGGAAGAGATGAAAGACAAACAAATAATTCTAGATCCTCAACATTTATTTCATATTTGGATTAGTTTCATTCATATATCAGATCATGTTGAAGTAACTACATTCTTAAGATTGCCTAAGAAATTTAATTACATATTAAGTAACAAAGATTTCATTAATAACATTAATAACATTAATAACATTAATAACATTGCAACAGCATTAGAAAAAGATGGCATAAAACTAGAATGTATGTAATATAATGTTGAAATAATACAATATATGCCGTGCAAAATTTTAGAGCCGAAGAAGTGCTTTTTCAAATAATTTTATTTACATGGGGAATAATAAATGTAATTCTGAACTTATTAAGAAGTTAAGAAATTATAATGATTTTTATAAATACAGGAATGTCATTGTTATTTGTATCAAGCAGAATTTATAAGAGAATAATGAAAGAGATGCTTAAACAAAAATAGAACACATCACCCTCCCTTGCACATCCCTCCCATGATGGATTCAGAGCTAACAAGTCTGCATTGAAGTAAAAATCTGAATTAATTTTACCAGTTAAGCAGGTAAGTGTACAGGCTTTATACTCTATCCAAGAAGATACACACATAATTTGGAACCCTTAAAAACGGAGGAAAAGAATGAGAATAAAAACATAAAAGGGGAAAAATTATACAAAGAATATTGTGCAGCATCCCCTTGACTGTAAACCAGTCTAGACTGTCTTTCTAGCCAGCAGCTCATGTAAAAATATTGCATCATCATGCATATGGTGGAACATGCATTTTTATTAAAGATACAATTAGTTTTGTACCCTACACCAGTCACACACATCTTGTAAAAGAGAAAGATTTTGAAATATCCATCACTAACTTAACAACAATATAAACCTGGGTCGTATGCACATATCGCAGCCCTGCTGGGAATTTGAATATCTTTTTAAAAAATCTAGAAGTTATTCTAACAAAATTTCAAAAACGCAGACAGTATAAAGTTGTTCTTTGCGGTGACTTCAATATAAATTGCCTAACACAATCCAGCAATGAAAATATATATAAAGACCTACTAAAATCATACAACTTACAAACAACTATAAATTCACAAACCCGAATATCCAAAAATAATAGCACTGGTATAGATCAAATAATAATAATAATAATAATAATAATAATAATAATAATAATAATAATAATAATAATAATAATAATAATAAAAAATGAAAATAACCATTGTTTTTCTGTTGCTACATTTAATACAGGTTTCAGTGACCACACTGCCCAGATGCTAACAGAAACAAAAACTGCGGAACAGACAACTTTCAAAGAAATCCGTAACTATTCCCAAGGAAAGAATAACATTTCAAAACTTACTCAGATCCGAAAAGTGGAATGAAGTGTAGAAGGCAACTAATACAAATGATAAGTTTAATTCATTCATAAATATATACTTAAGATTCAATGCCATTTTTCCTCAAAAACTCAAAAAGATCCAAAATAAGAAAACTAAATCGTGGATTACCACAGACATCAAAGAAAACATAATATGTATAAAATACTAATAAATAACAAATGTGACTCAAACTTCATTTCATATTACAAAACATATAATTTAATCCTAAAAAAAGTAATCAAACAAACAAAAATTCTGGCAAATGATAAGTACATTGCAAATGCATGTAATAAAACAAAAGCTATGCGGGGACATTATTAAAAAGACTACAGCACCAACTAATAATAACAGAAAAAATATAGAGCTCCACTACAAAAACCACACTATACAAGACCCACAAGAAATAGCTGATATATTCAATGAACACTTTTCAGAAATTAGTAATAAGTTAATCTCTCAACACTCTCTAAACAATAAAACACTCCAGCCAAACACTAATATTACACAAATTGTAAAATCTATGTTTTTAAATGAAACCACGCCCTAAGAAATTTTTAAAATCATTGGACAAATGGAGAATAAATTCTCAGCAGGCATGGACAACAATTCGGATTTTCTTATTAAACACAATGTATAGTACAACCACTCTCTCACATCTGCAATTACTCTCTAAAATCAGGCATATTCACAGATGTATTCAAAACAGCAAAAATGTTGGATATTCAAAAATTCTGGAAAGACTTTTTAATGATAGACTCAAACATTTTCTCAATTCAAATAATGTCTTGACAAATGCACTACATGGCTTCAGGAGTAATAGATCCACAGACACAGCCAACTTCTCCTTTTTAAATGACATACTTCTTGCACTAAATCAGAAGAAATTTTTAAATAGTTCTATTTTTTGTAAAAATATCTGATAAATTTAACATGTTTGGCAAGTTTTCTCCCATCTAATTTCATAGTTTCTACTTACTACTTATTACAATATATATATATATATATATATATATATATATATATATATATATATATATATATCACTTAAACTTGATTTTTTAATGAATTTAATTTCTTATTTCTCGTAACTTTTATTTTTGATTCTTTTGTTTTATTCACTATCTTCAAAATTTCTTGACATATTTTTAAATTTCCAGATGGATCATGTCAATTAGGCCTATTTAACATATTGTAACGAATATTGCATCATCTTCCGGGATTCGCTGCGCGAATTGCGTCAACTGCCGGCGCCCCCGAACTGGACTGTTCCGGGCTACTCGCGAGTGGCGTAGAAATACGGAGCAAGTGCCAGTTGTGTCGAGACGGGCGCCGGCCAAGTATGAATTCGCCGCTGCCGGCGGCCGCGAGTCAGTAAGTAGTAGAAGAAGTAAGAAATAGCAGTCAGTCAGGCAGTAAGCAGCTGCGAGTCAGTGTATGTAATCAGTCAGTAAGAAGTAGTAGGCAGGCAGTTCGTCAGTGTGAGTATGCAGTAGTCTGTCTGAAGTGGAAGCTGAGCTGTGAAGTGTGCATCGCGGTAAACAGCAGAACAGTGAAGTGTGGTCTGCGCCGGGAATTGTGGTCAGTGCAGTGTACCGTGGACTGTGCATCGGACTGTGCGATAGTGTAGAAGAAGTGAATAGTGTAAATAAATAATTAAAGAAGTGAACTGTGTAAATAAATAATGAAGAGAACAGGGCCGTGTGTAAGGAAAATAAGTGAAGAACACAAGGAATGTGTAACCTATCTGTAAATAAATCAAGTATGTTAGTATATCATTAAGAAATAAATAAAAGTCTTTGTTTAAATAATACCTGTGATTTTTAATTCACCACTGAGAAACGTTACAATATGTTGATGAGTGTAATTAACACATCGAATCGGTGTGTTGGACAATAAAGATTTATTTTGAAGAAAAACAACCATTGGTTGTTAAAAAAGAAAAGGATAATTGTGTTTAATTAATTTATTAAGAAACATTTCACAAAGATAGTTCACAAGACAGTCACTATGTACAGTAGAACACTATAAAATCGGGTGATTGTAAGGGAACATATGTGCAATCTATTGCAGCAAGAGCTGAAGAAAATCTAGCAATTTTATAAAATTCTTCTTGGATGATATCTATATTCCTTTGAAGCTTCATGAAATTACTACAATTGAAGCAGTAGATTGCTCACATCAATAAAGACTCAAATTACGATAAAAATGATCCCGTTGCAAATAACGCAGTGACAAATTCATTGATGATTCCTCAGAATTGCTAACAAAAATTGATGATTCCTCAGAATTGCTAACAAAACACAAAGTATACATTTTATTATTTTGACATGAAATGAATTTAACAGGACCATTACTTTACCAGGACATTACAGAAATAGAAGTCGGTATTCACAAATACTTTATTATCTGTTCTATGAAAGTTTTGCTAACCGTAGGCTTCCTTAACCTCAAACAGGATTTGCAATCTTGTTCGTCAAGGATCTCAAAATATTCTGGCCGACATGTTGTCTGGTCGGTCGCTCTAAATCATCAAAGAATTCGTCCATCACCTCTATTACGTTGTCCGGCACGGAAATACCACAGATGTTTCTTGAAAACCACAACAAGTTCACACACAAATTCTGTTATTTTGGAGTTATCTACCAGATACACATTTAACAGCCTCTCGAACCTCCAGATTATTTACCGAAGACGTTAACCACTGGATAGATTCATCAGGCACTCATAAAACACAAATTTTCAACATATCAGTAAGATAACTTCTGGATAGACTATCCGACACTTTATCAAGCACCGGTGAAACAGGCCCTAAATGGCATGTAACGAGTTGATTTTGGTGTCTGGCTGAATTTAAAATTCCCTCTAATATTGTGACGCAAACTGGTGTCTAAAGCTCATTGGCTGAAGTCGGATACAATGTGCAAGAGCCCCCCCCCCTCCTGGTTTCTAAGCAGACACCCAACCAGAAACCTGACATAGGCTACTTGTTGGTGGGGAGCACAGAAGAAATGTCCTCGTGTTGTATAGAAGCGATGCGAAATATCCACCCGAAATGGCATCCAGGACCGATTTTAATTTATCTCTGAAATATGCTTTCATGGTCAGATTCATGGAGTAAGATGTTTTACACGCGGTTCTCTTGCACCGTGAATTTACATCAAAGTCTTCTATAGTATTTGCTTCCATCACAACCTGTTTCTTTCTTTCGGACTCGTTATACATGCTCTGTGCAGTAGAAATTGTTTCAACATCTTTGAATTGTTTAGAAGAGGGAATATGGATAGAATGGATACCACCCTGATAAATCTAAATATGTATTTGTTAAAACTGGAAAGTGCATTTTTATTACATCAATATGTTTTTTATATATCCCTATGAATCATTTAGGTTTATATTTCACTTTCATTTTGGTAATTTAAATTCTGCATTAATATGACTGTTGAGAAAGATATTGCTTCCATCAATATTTAAAAAGAAAGATTGGCACTATTACACCAGATGAACAAATTGAGAAAACGGGCGAAAATGGACGACGAATTGAAAGGTGAAGCAAGTAGTGGTGTTGATGTTAGTATTTTTTTGTTATATATGGCGGTTATATTGTACTGTGGAAGTTGGGAATATATGTATTTGATTATTATAATAATTTCTAGCCATAACATGTATTGCAGGCTACTGAGGCTAATGAACTTGGAAGTACTCCTTCCGACTTGTCGACGAAAGTGCGGGAAAGAGAAGACATCGGGCATGGAATTGTTGTTGCTGCACATTATAACACATTGGAAGAGAAGGGTTTGGAAGAACGTAACAAAAGCCGAATTTTATACCTGCGCAATTTCAACAACTGGGTGAAGAGTATGCTCATTGGTAAGAAGTGGTACGAGGGTGCCGGGTGCGACGTTCCCCAGAGGGCGAAACCTTGAGTATACGAACTCGAAGAATGTAGCAATTGTCAAAGGGTATTTCTGTTTATGGTAAAACAATTTTGCCTTGCTTTGTGAGATATTCATAAATTTAGGACTTTTGACCATTTCCTTTTTCAATTTCTAAATTAAAAAATTGAAATACTATTGTTCAAGGCCAGGGTTATTAGCCTTACTCTTATAAAAAGTACATACTCATAAAAAGACTTCGTTTGCAATGTGTCCACTATTGTACTGTACCTTTTTCCAAAAATGAATTCTTTGTTAATTTCTTCAAACCATTTTAAACTTCAAAGTAATAGATAATTTCATTAAAATTACATTTATTTCAAAAATTAATATTTCATCATTTCACACTTTTGAACTTTTGTTTTTAGCAATTCCTTGTACACGTTAAAATGTTCTCTGTAATAACTTGTACGTTTGGAAGACATATTTTTGTAGCTTGCTTGTCAGGCAAAAACATTTATGTGAAAAACACTAAATTCTAAATTCCCCATCTCTATCTCTGTATGTCCCTAATCCATTCAGCAAAAGCTGAGATGGCCCCTTATTTTGCTTCTGGACCTAAATGTAACTTCAATATCGCATGATTTATTTAATCGTGCACTTGATGTATATCAGCTGTTCATGGGTGCTCGAATGTCGCTAGTTGTAGGAGTAGAGAGCCAGTTGTAGGGGTTACTATTTTGTTAGCAATTCTAAAAAGTTAAATTTTAGTAATTTACCAATTAAAGTAGGGTACCCGTTACGGCTTGAGAGAAGCGCAGCACC